GTGTAAATATTATCACATTTGTAAAAATGAGTATCATACATCCTTAAAGTGTACCACGGTATTTTGTACAAGTTGTAAGTTGTGCAAACAAATTTTTTGCAGTTAGCAGATAAATCACGACAATTCTAACTTGTTCAATCATAGATTATATCACACTGATCTGGCATCTTTGATTAGCAGAAAACGCGACATCGATATCTAAGTAAGATAAGATAAGTCAAGAAGAGAAGACACCGAGAATATAATACTATCCTTCCGTGATACAACATAAATGAGATGGATTTTACTATTATTCAAGATAGTCGGCGCACGGTAATCGGAGGGTGCACATATCTCGACGAGTTTATCTGGAGCTTAGAGCTATATGAAAATCCGATGGAACAGTGAGCAGGAAAGCCGCGCGAAGGTAAGAAATAGCAAAAGAATGATCAGGCTCTATCTCACCAATGTGATGTTACGAACGTAACTTGTGAGAGGCTTATGTACTCTATTCGATTCTCTAAGCAAGCATCTCTGCTGGGTAACGGCAAATGTTTGTACGAAAAGTCCGATCTTCAACGCCTCAATTTCCGAATGGAAAGAACGTCTGTGTGAATTGGACCTTCGAAATAACAATAGTGGAAGTGAATTGCGCAGGGCGAATAAGAACCGTCGAATGTCGCTCCAATGTTCGGACTACTAGAGGACAGAAGTTAAGAAAAATAGTGGTTTTAATGAGCACTTAAATTTACGCTTTTGGTGAATTAAAGCTTGAGAGAGTCAAAGAAAAACTTTGTTCTTCAAAGCTTTAATTAAATGCTGATAGAAATTGAAGTTAATTTTTTTTATATAAAAGTGGAATTTTATTGATTTTGTCAATTGTTGCCTTTATTACGTTAAAGGAATAGTTTAATTAACAAACAGTTACTTTTACAAGTTGTAACTTCAAAGTTATTTAAGATTAACACAGTTATCACAAAAGGCGAAAGGTTTAATTAAAAAATTCATTGTTCAATATGATTAATGTTAAATATTGGACATTATTATATCTCGAAATATTAACTAAAAAAAATCTACAATTTTATTACAAATATACGAATAAAATAGTAATTTGTTAAGTATATCTAAAATAAAGTTACGTACTGGCGTATTTGTATTTATATAGACTACGTTATATAGACTATCTACTTGATGCTACAAATACTTCGAAGCATTTTTTTGATCAGTGAATTAGTAAAATCTTTCTCCCAATTGATCAATCAAATGCATCGAGCATTTATAGCATCAAGTGGACCGCACCTAGCCATACGTTAACGCCAGAAGCGATTACATATCGACTGTGATTGACTGGCGATAATCAAAGTGCGGGCGAGTAAATAAAACAGCAATTGACGTGGATCAGAATAGTGGAGCGGAAAGGATATTCAGCGATGGGCCTCGAGAATGAAACACGGTCCAGCGGGATTAAAGGACAATGTTTATCGAACCGTTCCAGCTTCCTCTTCCTTTTGCAAGCTCTATCCTCCAGTTGCACAGGTATGCGTCAAAGTCCACGCGTTGCCGCGTTCATGAATTCTGAGGGGCGTTTTCGTCGATTGTTCCACGTCGAACAAAGGCGGATCCCACTGCGGTACCTATTGTCAGGTTTTCGGGATAAATTCTGTTCTCGAGAATCGCTGATCCACCCCCTCGGTTTCTATGTTTCGCCCCTGTGCCTCGTTCCCTCTTCATTCGTCCGCGAATTCTCGCTCA